TATGATAATGAAAGTTTGTTTTGTATAGGTTTTGTGAAGAGTAGATTCAATCATTTCTAATTGTTGTTGTACGATTGTGACCTGTTGTCAGTAGAACTATCATCATGAGTTAAAATAACATTACCCGATAAAAGTGAATAAAATTTGATAAAATGCATGTTGCAACATGATATATCAATCATTCGTTTAACTGCTACGTACATTTCGTACAGACATGTATGTGTTCCTAGGTTGGTCATGAATTACCTGTTCTACTTAGCTGTACTCCTATGGAGGTTTTTATATAGGTAAACGTTACATTCAAGCTCACTGGTACCTAAAGGTCGTTTCACTGTTTAACCGTTGACTTTGTTTTCTATTGTGGTCAGCCAGTCGTCCCAGTTTTTCATATGTAGAAAAGTCCTTCCTGGATATTTGGATAACCTTGTTTTGCTATACCTTATTCCTGCAATTCAAACGTTAGATAATAACCAGCCTCGTTCCCAGTCGTCCTCGGCGATTTCGGATGTGACGTCGCCTGTCAAGCTTGTCGGGAAAATTCGCTACCGCACTCGGTTCCAAGCCTCCTCTGGTAACTCGGATAGCGCGAACTGGCCTGGGTATGAGGCTGGATAATAACTAAAGATAAATCATTCAGTTACGCGCGGAGTGTTGTCCTTATAGACGCAGTTCTATTGGGGTTCTTGACGTAGCTAAAACAGCCCCAAAATACCATTACCTTAGTACTCTTTAAACTGTCTTTTGGGTGGCGCTTCATGTAAACCTGACCTCTACATTTTAAGTTATTTTAAGTTAAAAGCAGATTCAAACCATCGCTTACGTACTATAAAAGTGTAGAGCGTATCATTAATGGAAAAGAATCGAATAATAATCATTTCCGGTAGTTTGGCAGATCTAGGTTGTTTCCGATAATTTTGCAATAGGCCAGTTTTGAAGGATTAAAATTCATATTTTCTTGGTTCTAAAGGGGCAGGGAATAAAACCAAAGAAATGAATAATTTATCAGTGAATCTAAAGGCCTGTTTTTGTTGTTGTTTTATACCCTTCAGCCTAATAATTCATAACTGTCCCATTTTTTCAACAGGTGTGGTAGCCAATCTGATTCTCTTCCTGACTCTTCTGACGTTTCTGTCGTTTCTTTACTAAGGGATTAGTCATGCTCTAATAAGACATACTTAAAGACATTTGTTCCATAAGTTCTCAGTTCGGCGTTTTCGTTTTCAGCAGCATTCCCCGCGAAGTTTTAACAGGCCAATCCCAGTTCACTTCAGTGCCCCTTGAAGACTCTATTTGTCAAAACATTCCCGTCTCAGATCTCTTAGTCTTTGTTTGTTTGCTAATCATGATCCTACTTTAAAAAAGAAATCAATACTTCTGCTGAAGAGAATTGCGTAAAAGATATAAAGTCAGCAGTTATGAACTTTAGCGGTCACAAATGATCGTTCATTGTTAAAGAAATGCGGTCGTTCAGGAAACCAGGTTTTAGTGCAGGGATATTGCTATGAAAGATTAATAGGTGGCTTTTCAGATTGTTTTGGAGAACAGACGTTTTAGGGATATATACATATCCTGCTGCGGTATATACCACAGCCGGTGGGAAACGAAAGAGGAAACCATAGGAATACCACAAAACCGAGCCTAAAGATACAGATAAGATAATTCACTACTCCTGGATAATTTGATAGCTTTTTCATAGGTTGAGAAAATTAAACTGGATTCGTAAGAACTTAACTTTATTGATATTTGCTAGACTTAGAAGCGACAAATACTATCAAGCCAACATAGCCCTTGAAAATGGAAACTGCTCTATGGAAACTTGAAAGACGCTTCAAGCATTCAAAAGGAACGATTCAGAATTCAGTCATCTTAGTGATGATTTATGGATTTGAGGAATTCATAAGAACACAATTTTTCAGGTGAGATGAGTTTCATAAAGTCTTCAAACACTCCTAGATCATTCTTCAATCAAACAAGAAAGCGGCTACCTTTCTGAGTTTAATCGGCATGGAAGAACTCTTACTAAAGACTCCGGTGTATGAGGCCGCGAGAGTCAGGACAGTGATTGTTACCGGTGTAAAATCTGTATTTTTGTGCCACGTTATTTTAAATTAGTGCATCTTTTGCTCAACGAGGCATTTTACAAGAATGTACTGAAGTGAAAAAACACAATCGTTAAAAGAATAAATCTCGCCGAAACTTATAGCTTGCTATTGCCGGCACGTTCGATTCATTGTTGTTTAAGGTTGCATGAAAAATTTACTCAGGGAGTTGAAGATCAGCCAACGTTTTATTTATTTATTTATTTATTTATTTTAGTTTTTTGAACAGCATTTACAAAAGTTGAAAACTCTTTTTTACCTTTATGGCTATTTGACTGATTATCTTTATCTTGCTGAACCAAATCATTAATTTTCAAAAAGCTAGTTTCCTGTATATGCACCGGTTTTACTTTGGGTTCGCGCTCAAACATTGACCTCGAGCCTGTGTTATTCCAAGTTAAATTATCGCTAAAAAAGAAAATGAACCAGATCTAGAGAAGAAGCTTAAAAATCACAATAAAAAACATAATTTTCATAAGCAAACGTTTCCTTCTCGTCGTTTTCAGCTTCTTAAAATAAAAACTGAAAGAAAACCAGATTTTTGTAATACAAGAGAAATCACGAAATCATTTGCAGCTGGCCTTTTAAGACATTATTATTTATTTATAACTTTCGCTGTTAAAATCAATTGAAAATCAACTTAAAAAATTCTTTTCAAAGAACAACAAAATAACCGGTTTAGTTTATCGAAACCAAATACTACAGAGAGCGAGAGAAGTCAGTGTAAAGCCAAGTCAAATTAGTCTCGTTACCTGATTCTACCAAGTCGGTACCACACTCTAAGAACTGGGCTGCGTATCATTTGCTGGGAATTTTGTCTTATTCAACATGGTTAGCAGGGCTATTAGGAATTGATCGTTCAGTTTGCCATTTATATTACTGAAAGTGAAAGGAATTCACCTCGTCTGTCTAGCGCCGGGAGATAAATGCGCAGTCTTTTGTATGCCCCGAGTTTCACTGTTAAAAATTCTGAACAAATCACATATCTTCATGGTCTACATTTGTCATCTTTGTAGTACAATATAAACACAAATCATATGCATGCCGAGTTTCATTTTTCTTTTTGTACAAGTAAAGGGTGTCGTTACGTAGCCCGCCTGTATCACTAAAAAATACAGAAAAGAATAATAGACAGAGAGGTAAGTATTATTACCTATAGAAATGAAATGACGTGGTCATGAATATGGCCAATAGGGCACTTCCAATTAAGTGCAGTTTGAGTTGTTATGAATAAACAAATAACTGATAAATAGATGCTTAGTGGTAGCACATTCATGAAGTATTTGTTGGTCTAATAATGTCCCGGTTCTAATTAGAATTTGAAAAAATTGGTTTTGGGGAAGGGGAAAAAACCGGAGCAGCCGCGGCAAAAACTTCTTGCCCTGGAGCAAGGGCAAGAACAACGATTAATTTAGCTTACTTGTTAGGAGGTTTCCTCAGTTTCTCCAATTTTTTGTACACTCAGAAGTTTTGCAAACAGCAATTCCAACGTTAGCGTGATACAGTTTTATAGCCCCTGTATTTCCTGTGCTTGTTGGGTTTGGAAAGATCTTGTCATTTGTTTGAACACTAAACTACTATTCTATCAGCAGACCACACCGACAACGCCGAGGCTAAACATTAAAAAGATTATCTGATTTGTGACGAGGCATGGAGTCTGTTGGAAATGATAATAAATGAACTTTGCTAGGAAATCTTTTTTTCATTTCCTTTTTGGTTGTTCCTTGAGGATTTAAACCAAGTCGTGGGTGAAACGGTCCTCATTATTTTCCACTTTTTAGGTTTACCTGTAAAAAAACACACTTTATGAGTCAACTCCCCTTTTTCCTGACAAAACGATACTCATTAGTTTTTTCAGGTCATTTTAAGTGTGTGAAAATATAACAAATGCTCAAAAAATAGAGGAAGGGTAAATTTTAGACAAAGACTGTAGTTATGAGGACAGGCCCGCAGTGTGGAATTCCCCCCAAAAAATTTTTCATGTACCCCTCGGTTTAATTATCCACCAAATCACCAAGAGAGTAGTAGAAAACATACAACGCACAAGGCCGGAATTACTTATGCCCCGGCGGGCCATTTTGGAGGTGTTTGCTGTTGTAACGAAAAAAGATGTCTCATATTTGTATGATATTACTTGTAAAGAAAATGATTCTGAATTAAAATTTAGAAGACAAAAACGAGGAGTATTTCATCAGATATGGAAACATGGTGAGCAAGGGTGATACAGTGGTGAGAGCACTCATCCCCCATCAATGTCGCCCGAGTTCAAATCCCGGCTTCCACGCCTTTTGTGGGTTGAATAAGTCGTGGTTCTCTCCCTTGCTCTGAGAGGTTTTTCTCCAGGACTCCGGTTTTGCCCTCAGCTCAAAAACCAACAAATTTCAATTCGATCTGGGACGCACGGACACATTTAAACGAGTTTTAAAGAACTCCTAAGTGCTTCGTTGAGTTTGACTTTATTTTGTCCCAAATTTGAAGTAAATAGACTGTGGGCTTGCGCAACAGCACAGGAGGGAAAAAAAGACGGCAAACCTTGTGTGACAAGTGTGACCATAACTTTGACTGAAAAAACTTTCCTCCAAACCTAACCCTCCTTTAAATAGATCTATAGGTAAAAGACCAGTAAACATTAGTTTAAGTGAAGATCACGACACAACACGCAAGTAACAGCCCTGTCACGTTTGTCACACACAAGCGTTTTGCCGTTCTGCGTAGACTACTATTTTTTCTCTCCTAACTCGCCAGATGTCCTTGTACAAACAACTTTTTGTACAGTGTGGTTATGATGGCTGGCCCCTCCCTTTTTGATAACCCGGAGCCAAAGTACTACTCACCTCCAAAGACCTTCTGGAATGTCCTTCCTTCGTTCGAGTTTGTAAAGTTACTTTCTGAGTTGATGGCCTACTTGTCACTCAGTCGACTCTTCCAGCCATTTCTGGCCCCCACGGCATACATAACGATGGTCTTGTTAAAAGCAGACATTTTTGTGTGTTCCCAAATTGGTGCTGTGCGCAATATTGCTTGCCAGGGTGCTGTGTCAGACACAAAGTTATCACAAGTAAGAACTTTTGAAATCCTTGCCAGCTGATCTTTTAAAGTTACACTTTCTCATTTATCCTTTTCACCCAAACATGCAGCCTGAGAAAATTCTGAGAGCTAAGTAGCTACACCTAACTCTTGGCTATGTAAACCAATAACTGCAACGTATTTTTAATCTTCGCTTCCACATAAATGCTCAATTTTCCTTGTAAAAAATAAGCCAGTGGTTGAAAAACTCTTTCGTCACATTATTTCTTTGAGAATGCGAGGTATGGGTTAAGGCTTCTTGTGGCACTCGCTGGCATCCGAGCAAAAAAGCTGTTTTATCACCATCATCATCATCATCGTCATCATCATCATCATAATCATCATTATTATTTTCTATTATTTATTACGGAGGGAAAAAAACAAGTATTATCAGGAGCCATTCACCCTGGTAATGTATCCCTAACTCGGCCCTAATCTCGTTCCCAGATCGGCTTTGAGATCTGGGTACGAGATTAACTCGGCCCTGATGAGACTGTTTATCGTGCTCATATGGGTGAAATGAGTGTCATCATACTGTAACACTCAGTACCAATATTAGCACTGAAGCACACGTACCAGCGCCGCGGTATGACCATTACCTTACACATGCGCTTAACCATATCACCCGGGCAGTGGCAGCCATGGACAGCTGTTTCGCCGTTATTGGGGCTCATCAGCATGGCACAACCGTCGGACCTCTGTACGGAAAGTCGTAGAGTTGGAACTAGCCTGCGTAGCAAGCGTTTCCGTTTGGTTTCGGAGCAAAAAGAGACCGTGGAAGGGGAGTTTCGGTTTTGATTGCGCGAGAAATTTACTTGCGCCATTTTCCGCGCGGTCTTTGACTCTTGTTGCTCGTTCTTTGCTCCTAAACCGCACAGAAACGCTTGCTACGCCGGCTAAGTTGGAACGTGTGCGTCAGTGCTTAAATTGGTATTGTAACACTCAGGCCTAGGTCAAACGTCTAACCTTTTCACGAGACGAACCAAACTCTAATTAGGGTCAATCTAAATTAAGTTATTAAGATAGGACGCGTCGAACTAACCAACTGAATCAGACCAAAAAGCAATTTTAACTGGCCAGCTGGTGTTGAGTAATAAATTTTCTCTCGAACGAGGCTAAATATACATTATCTTACAAATTTTTAATTTATTAGTTTAGTTTGTCGCATGTGAAGATCGTCATTTGTCCCGGAGACGGTCTTCAGACATGTTAGACGATTCAAACTCATTCAGACAAACTTAACTTAACCAGAAGTCGAACTCTTCATGAACATAACTCACTACGTTTGGTTCGTCTCATCAAAAAATCGACGTTTGGCCAGGCCTCAGTGGGGAAGTGTCCTACGAATTAATCCAGTTGTATCTATGACAACCAGATTCACTGTACTGGCTTAATTTACCCCCAAATCAGTGAGTTTCATCATTGTTGATTACTTACAAAGGGATTTCACTCTACTAATGGTTACTTTCTCCCTTCATTCAGGAGAAGTCAAACGAGCTGCACATTCTCAAGGTACACACGCAGTCCCAGATTCTCGGGTTAGGTATCTTGGTCGCACCAACGCTGTTTTCGCTGGGCCTCGTTTGCATTCAGCGATGCTGCTTTGAAGACGACACGCTTCCGAGCCCAGGTGAATTCGAAAAGCTTGAAAAAGAGGTACTAGGGAATTTATTTCGCGAGAAATTGTTGCTGGCCATTCAAGAAGACGCAAAGAAAAAGGTGAACGACGTGTTCCAGATCAAATCTAAAAGGGATGTTAAAGATGTTTTTAACAGAGCCAGAGAAGCACTGAGAGCTATTAGTTACACTACCGACAGGAATGGACGATATAATAGACTGAATATTGACGATGAAGAAACTGATTGCAGCTTATGGATTCCACCCATCTGTAACTCTGTCGATCATTTTGAACAGTGGTAATTTGAACTGATCAAAAGTTTTAAATTGCATAGAAAAACTAATGTTTGAAGAAACAGTTGTAGATGAGAGAAGATAGCAAAAAAGTTGCAAATTCCCAAATTTTCAAATCTCTGTTTCTGGATTGTATTGTTGTATTTGTATTTTTTATTGTATTTTACTGGATTGACTGATGCATAATATCTATGGTTAACTTCAAAGATAACCTTCCGAGTTCATTTCTGGGAGCAACGTTTTGGCATTGTTTGTTTACTCCTAATGACTTTTTACAAATAATTCAATAATATTCTAATAATAATATGTTCAATAATATCTTTTTCCCAGTTTGTGAAATCGTCTTTGTCATAGATACTTCATACCCATGAACCATAGAGGAGAATGGGTAGAAAAAATGAATTAAAAACTTTATTTGTGGTAT